GATCCTCTGTTTTCGTTTTCAGTTCTGTCACCAGAAATGAGAGATGCTATCGAAAGTGTTAAATACATTGCAGAAAATATGAAAATGCAGAATGAAGCAAAAGAGGTAAGAGCATATTTTACTTGTACTCAAACTGCAGACACCATTTGCCATTAGTGTGTTTTGTAAGAAAGAGATATCAACACCCCCCCAACACATACACCCCCAAGAAACAAAAAGGACACCACAGACCATTAATTTTATACACCTACCCAAGCTGTATTACAAACATGCAGTTTTGAATGTAGATCATTTTGGGGAGCAGTTCTGTTGCACAACGTTCTCTTTATTGACAACACACATACTGAGTGAGTCATGTCAAGATAACCACCACACTTGAGTATCTGTCCTATGAGATTTGGAGTGAGTATTTTCCAAGTTACAATCTTAACAGTGGAATTTGCTGACTATGGCCTTTAGAAAATTACATTCTCCCTTCCGGAGCTTACCAGCAATAACAAAGAACTTGAGAACGAATGTCCTTCACAGTGACGATGTTTCTTATTGTGCTGCTGCTGCAGATGAAGGTGCTGTAGCTAAATGAGGCAACTGCTGCAAGACAGGGACAATCATCTCTCACAAAACTGTATCTTAAGGCAATGACCACCAGAGTCATCACTCAATTTAAATCCTAAATTAAAGTTAGAATAAAGTTGTTCCGTTTATGCCAAAATCAGAACTTTAGAATAAGGTGGCATAGAAAATATAGGGTGCATTTTAAAGTGTGCCCTTAACAAACAAGTTCTAAGTTAAAAAGGACAAAATTTCAAAAATAACAAATGCATTATTGATTTATAAGCCTTCCTGAAGAAAAATGAAGTAAAAATTTAAATTGTAATCTCAAGAGTAACTCGAATGATCACCTAATGTGTTATATTAATATATAACATATATAATATTTTAGTGTCTCTCCTGTCACAATGCCCACTGTAAAAAAAAATAAAAATCTGGTTTTTGGAGACTTTGTTCCCTCCCTACATGGAAGGTGAGGAGATGAATTTTACATCATGCATGATAACAATCAAATTTCAGCACTACAACTAATTATATACCCATTAACCTTGGTCTTTTTATCACACTTCCTAAAGACCAATTATAAGCAGCCTCTTTTCTTCAGCAGATTTTTCTGGGCAAACCCATGAAATTAAAGTTTTCACTTTCATTTTTGGCATACAGGGAGAAGCTATATCTCATGAAGTCCAGTGTCTTGTTGAACAACTTTTTGTACATGAAGAAGTAGCTTTCGGCTTTGCCATAAATAGCATATCCAAATAAAGCTTCTTTGAGATGAATTAATTTGTCAATGAAAACAGAGATAGGAAAGTTGTATATCTACATAGGGAAAAAACACATGCTTCCTTCCTAAAATGGTACTAACTACTGTTATTGATTTAATAAAGATGCCTACTTGTTATTCCATTTACTTTTCAGATTCAGGATGACTGGAAATACGTTGCCATGGTAATCGATCGAATTTTTCTCTGGGTTTTCCTCCTGGTATGTATTCTAGGAACAGCAGGATTGTTTTTACAACCTTTGATGGCTGGAGATGAAACGTAAAGATTAAACAGCATGTTGTGAAATCAAATAAAATTTTTGCCGACCAACTCCTCACCCCCACCACAGCACCCGATGTCTCTTCTATGTTGTAAAATAAGGATCTCTCTTGGCCTCAACTTTGTTTGACTAAAGCGGCTTAGTTAAAAACATGAAAACATGAAAAATAAAAAACATTTTTAAACCTTTAAGACAGTTAATCTCAAAGTAATACAAGCTATGCTTGACAGCTGCTTCTTGCAATAACTAGAAAAAATGCAGGTAGTACATCAAATTTTATAGGAATGGTTTAATAAGAAGGTTGATAAAGAAACTGAAAATAACATGAATACTTGAAAGTCAAGACAGGTTGAAGACTACTAGATTTGTTTCCATAAGTCTGGTGCCAAGCATATCCAGAGTATGACAGGATCTTCTGGAATTAAGTTCAGACTGAATTCAATGAATGCCCTCCTGAGGACAAAGTAAGTTAGGAAGCATGCATACCGTATTGCTAGAATGCAAACATTGCCACCTGGTGTATAAACTGACTCAACAGTGGGAGGAAAGGACCACGGGCAGGTTTATTACAAAAGGAAAACAAATAGGTTAAAAAATAGATGGTGGTGATAAAGCAGCCAGAATGTAAAGCCTGTATTTCAGTGTACGAGAAGGCTGCCAGAAAAAACAAGCTATTCAAACCTAACAATGTTTAAAACTATGGACAAGACACACATTAAGATGCAGTGCGCAGGTTATGCAAAGGATCAAAATATTTTGATAGGATAGTTTGCACACAGAAGCATCCTGCTATAGCAAAGTGTTCTATGACAAGGGAAAGCAGGTAGCTGAACAATAGTCCTGTAAAGCATGCAAAAATTGCTTCTTAGGCATACTTTGTTTGTTTTTAATCAGTAACTGCAGGTAATTTAAGAGCATGAATAAAAAGTGCAACAAAATACTGCAATGAGAAAACGTTTTGTAAGAATATAAACTCTTGTCTCTGTACCAAACTGGAAACTTTTTGGAAATACAGTGTATCAAGTGGTGTAACATTGATGAAAATAAAGACAAACTGGTAAAAATTGTGCTTTTTTTCTTTTTTCATTTATTTTGACCAAGTAACAAAAGCCTGTATAAGACAGCATTAGCTACAGCTCAACACATTCAGAAACAACTTAAATAAGGAAAGGTCCATGCTTCTGAGTCTATTAATTTGTTTCAGGCACACCTTATAAGCTGAAGACCCTAAGAATTCTAGTGTCACCTATCTTACCTGTGTTTATCATGATCAGATTATAGAAGTGACTAAAAGAAATTCATGCATTTGTAAAAACTGTGAGTTACTAGTATAAAGACTGGGGCTCCATTGGCTGATATGCTGCCAATGATAAGCTTAACTTACGATGTAAGGGCTGTCTACAGACATCATTTGACAAGAGGAAAGGGATGAATTGGGGAGTTCAAGAAAATAATAGATCTTGCTAATCTACAGGTTTGCTTACTTTGCTTTCTGTTCAGGTAATGGTAAAATCAGTAATTCAAACCCAAGGAGGACTATAATAAGAAATTTAGCATTTGAACAGGAAAGAAGATACCTAAAGTAATTCTGCAGCTTCCACACAGAGAATGCCACTGATGCATTGTTTAATCTTAGTAATCCTGAGAAAGTTAAAATTATATTAATGGACTAAATCAGATAATTTTTGCAAAACCATTTTTAAAATTAATTATGATGGGAATACAGGAAATACAGGTATCCAATGCCAGATGCAACTGTAGAACTGAAGAGGAAGGGGTGACTCTCTTTATAATCATAACTAATTATAAACTGGCATATTTTAAGGCCTGTGAGCCTTTAAATCTACACAAATCCAAGAATGTCCTACAAGTGAAAACAATTTGAAATAAATATTCAATAATCTGTAAGTTATCTGTATCTATAATCTGCAAATTATGCCATAAGCAATCAGTATTATGATCTGTATAGTGTCAAACAGCACTATTCTTAAAGAGATGGGGGAAATATTTATGCATTTTCCATATTCATAACTTGTATTATCCAAGATACCACAATTTACATTAAACTTGTCATCTAAACATGTTAATATTAATGTAGAAACCTAAGTAAATAAAAACAGAAACCTCCCAAGACTTGCTCCGGCTTCGCATTACTGCACTAGCCCTGCAGGATGCAACACTATGAAGGGCACTGACAAAACTTTGGTGGAGAAAACCCCCCCATCAATTTTAGTGTGTCTTCCAGAAATAAAGCTTTTAAGAAAGGTGGCATCGTAAATTCAGTATTTAAAGATTATATTTTAATGGATTAAAAGTTGCAAGTTAGTTTTCAACACTTTCAGAAAAAAGCATTGAAAGATACAAGTCCTCATTGTTTGGAGTAACATGTGGTTCTATAATCAAGAGAACCTATTAAAAGGTAAATTTCTAAGTCCAGTTTAACAGCTGATGTGAAATATCAATCATCTCTATTTGGTTACACAGCATTGTCATTTTCAACCCATTTCCTTCAGAAGAGCATTCCCCAAATTCCTTCTACCTGTGCTTAAAAACTTGAGAAACACAAAAAGGCAGGAAATGATTAACATGTTTTCAACTAACATGCTGTATTAAATTCTTCATCAAGAATAAAGAAATCTGAATGTTCTGGTCCATCAGAATACCTGTGCAACTTGGGAGCTCATTTAATTGTGTCTGTCTTCTTCTTCGTAACTGACACAGATGTATTGATATACATTTATCCCACAGGCATTTTAATAAGGTTCATTATATTAAATGTTCATGTTAGTATGATAAAATTAACAAGGTTTTAAATTTAGCAGCAAATTCCACTGAATTTAAAGGCAAAACATAGCCAGATTGCTATTTTTACTGATAAATTGTGTATACAGTAAGTTTTATTGGTATTTTTATTATTTTAAATTTACTCTGTAGAAACTTTATACTTTTACAACACATTTAAGAGAGCTGAAAAATTCTCCTTTGCATACTATAGGATATGGAAATAAGCAACTCTACTGTGTTACTATCTGCAAATGTTTAATATTCAATATAACAATTTCTATTATAACTTAACAATTGGATTCTAGCAATCATCACTAGAACATTTTAAATTCTTCTATTTTGCAGTAGGTGTTGGTATGCTTCTCTGACATATCATACATGCAAGGGCTCAAGAAGATCCTTCCAATTCTGACCCAATTTAAAGGTAACTTAGTAGACTGGCAATAAGCAAATTGACTTCTTTGTGTTCTAGGGATGCCATGCTTTAAAATAAACACAATTTTCTGGGTTTGGATTTTTTGTTACTCTATCAGAAACATGCCTAAAAGAACATGCATGGAAATAGAGCTACTGCAAAACTCTTTAGAGCCATATTAGCAGGAGACAGATCCAATACTGTTTTATGCGTTTGTGCTGCCTATATTTGTAGGTACTATAATACTTGCCCATTTATGAATAACAGGAACAAATAACACAAGTGATCCAATTATTGAAACCAAAAGAAAAGTCCATAAGAACATTTGATCAAGAACCTGAGCAATATATTTCCAGTCTTCAACAACCTAAAAAACAAAGAACGTAAGAGTTGGGTCAGTATGTGCAAGCATCAAGAAAGATACAGTACCAAACCCTGCAATTCTTAATCACATTTTTCCAATCAGGTCCATTGGTAACCCGAGTTAATAACTTCTTGTAACAACTCTATGAGCTAGAACAGGAACAAACTTCCTCTATGAAAATTGGTAAGCTATACAGACCAGCACTACATTTTAATTCAGAAACCAACCCTGACAAGCACTGAACATTCTCAACTACAGAGAGACGAAATCAACATGCAATTTTCTAGCATACTGCAGGATTTAGGATTCATGCCACAGCCTCATCATAAAGCAGAATTCCTGGGCAGGAGCTAGAAGCAAAAGTTGTATAAAAACAAATAACCAATCCAAATAAACAAAACATACACACACACAAAAAACACCACCCAAACTTTCTGTACTCACTGTACTTTCAAGGCTGTTTTTCCTTACGATTAGATTACTCATACCTATACACCGTTTTGCAAGTATAACAGATACAATTGTGCAAGCAAATTAAAACCCTGCCAAACAATTGTATTTGACTTGAACTGGAGCTATCTACATTTCCTAAGCCTTCTGCCTCCTAAGCAGCAAGGCTACAACAGCACTAGCTGTGCCGTTTCTATTAACAACTTTTTCAATTAAATCTTGCATTCTCTGGAGCCCAAATAAGAAATTACAAGTGTATCCCCTGTTGGCTGTATATTAATTTTTGAGGTTCAGTGTCACAACATTACACCTGAAAACCAAAAATACTTATTACCTCTCTTCTTACTCACAAATAGTTCAGTAGCACAAGTTCAGTAAGAGAAAGGAAACCCACTCTTACTTTACATTAAATTATGTATTTAATATCAAATTATTCTATTTGTGTTGTTTATACAATGCAGGGGTATTGAATGCTGTTTCAGCAGTAGCGTAGATACGTTTACAAAATCCAGGCTGAATACCTTGTGATAATGTCAGAACTGAGTCCTGGGAAGATATAGTAGAGGAGTTAGCTTATTCCTAGGCTAGCATGTAAGAACACGCTCTCAGCAGCCAGCAACTTTTGAAGATTGTCATTTCTATATAGATTGAAAGAATCTTCAGAAACAGATAGCAGTATCATCAGACCACACAACAAACTTCTATATTTCTACACTAGCCTGAAAATAGTATTTATGTCTCTGATGTACCAACAGTGCTCGTTTAAAAAACTTAGGAAGAAAACAGATTCATAATGCTGTTACCCAAATGGTGTAAACATCCATTAAGGAGAGTTCAGAGTGCAAATGTACAGACTGAAAAAAAGCCTTTGACACCTTTTGGTTTAATGTAGAGACAAATAGTGAGGCTGGTCCATGTGCGATCTCAGCACAAAATGACCATACAGCTGCAGCTTGTATTCAAACTAATATAAGTTAGGGCATTAAAAATTGGTTTTATTTGGAATTGAAAGCTGCCAAATAATGCATTGCAATATTTTAAAGCATATGTACTTTTCAGATAGCCTTCAGGTACAACAGTACAATGAAAAATACTCTCTCATCACAAAAATACCCTGCAGCACTGTAGGGAACAGTTACGGTACCTGCTCTTGTAACAGACAGGTATCTCTGACAGTGTGTAACTAACAACATGATCTGCAGAATAAAGCAAAAAAAACCTAAAGAACCCAAGGATTGTATCTTATCATCCCAATATCTGTAAGAATTCTCAGTATTGTACTGTATTTGTACTTCTTCCAAGTGGAAATAATTACACAACTTGCAGTGAAGTATATACACTGGAAATCCCATAGCACATATTTAATATGGAACTTCATAGTAAACCATTACTTGCTTTTCTAATTTCCAGTTTTAAAAAAAATCAGTGTAATGTGACTAATACACCCACCTCGCGAACTTCATTCTCCTTCATAACGTGTCTTCTAATATAGCGGATAGAATCGAGAGCTGCTTCCAAGGTGTTCCTAGATGGTTCTGATCCATCCATATTTCCTGTTTCCTCCTTCTGAGGAAAGTATCTATCCACATGACTTCTCATGCACAGTAGCTTGGGAAGCCTGTGAAGAAATATCTTGCGAACCCAAGGTGCCATAGCGTTGTGTGTAGACGAAGAGCGATGATGGATATTGATAGCAAACACAGTTATCACAATGGACAATGTCACAAATATCATTGTAAACACCAAGTATTCTCCTATAAGTGGAATAACTTTAGAAGACGATGGAATAATCTCTTCAATAACAAGAAGAAACACAGTTAAAGATACCAGTACTGAAGTGCAAAGAGAAATTTTTTCACCTTCATTTGAAGGAAGATAGAAGACAAGGACAGTTAGAAATGAAAGGCCAATACAAGGAATAATGAGAAACAATGTGTAAAAAAGTGGCAAACGTCTAATTATGAATGAATATGTAACAAAAGGATACCAGCAGCATCCATCAGTCCTATTTCCTTTGCTCCCTGTTGCAGTCACTATTTCCCATTCTCCGTTATCGAAAAAGTCTCTTTTGTCAACATCATAATCTTCAAGAATTATATCAACCTGTGAGCCATCATAAGTCCAGGAGCCAAACTTCATAGAGCAGTTCTGGAGGTCGAAGGGGAAGAAGGTTACATCAATAGTACAAGAACTTTTGTAGTTTGCTGGTGGAGTCCAAGCAATGGTGCCATCATATTTCACTACAGTTTTTGTAGATGTTCCCTCAAAACGTCCATCTGCACTGAAAGAAAAGAGATAGATGCATCCAATTAGTGTGGGGAGGGTGTATTGGGGGTGTGTTTTTCAATTTGAAAATATGTTTTGTTATTGTCATTTCAGCTGTTTATCCCTTCTCCCCCTCCATAGCCAACATTTTGTATGCGTACATAGTTTACAAACAAACAACTTCAGGAGACTGAAGAATGCTTTCAAGTCATGAAAAGATCTGTGTAACTTTCTGGGGTCCCAATGACTTATGAAAGGATTGTAAAAATCCTCACCTTTAACAGCATGACCAAACTCTGGTCTCTACTGGGAATACAGCACAAATACTTTTCAATTTGGCCAAATAATAATTAATGAAGAACAAAAAGTTCACAGGTAAAGTAACACTTGTGTGCCACCTCCAAACTTGAATTTACAAACACACAACCACTGCAACAGCCTTTAATCCTGCCTCAACAATTAGGAAATGTAAAAGCACTGTATACGCACCAGAGTTGAGCAGAAAGGAAATTCGGAAATTATTGCTTCTAAGATCTGTTAATTCTCAAAGAAAAAAAAACAAACCCAAACCCTTACAGCTAAGTGTACTTCATTCTAAATCCATCCTAAATA